CTTAGAGTTATCTACGATTTTCTATGATCCACGTGGTCAAATGCCTTTGCACAGCCAATGAAACACAGAGAGACATTCCTCTGGTTCTCTCTGCTTTCAGCCAAGATCCATCTGATATCGGCAATAATTTCTGAAGTGCCACGGCCTCATCTAAATCCAGCCTGTACTTGTGGCAGTTCTCTGTAAGTTTACTACTGTTCCAGTAGTTTTTAATAATCTTCAGCAGGCGTTTGTTTGATAATTTCCACACTCTGTCATATCACCTTTTTTTAAGAATGGGAATAAATATGGATCTCTTCTAGTCAGTTGGCCAGGTAGTTGTCCTCCTGATTTCTTGGCACAACCTGGAGATCCAGTCCAGGGCTGCATCTGTTCATTGAAATATGTCAATTGATATACCATCAATTCCTGGGGCCTTGTTGGTTGGATTTTTGGTTGGTTCCCCCCCTCCCCGCCCAATTCCTCTAGAGCAGCAGCTTAGCAAAAGGAGAAAGAGAGCAACATATCATTGGAGGAAGATTAAGGTATTTGCAAGAACAGGAATGTTAGGGAAATATGGTAAAGGAATCTAGAGGTGTTGAGCATGTCAGAAACTGATGATGGCACAGGATAGAGCAAGACTTAGATATGTTGTCCATAGGGTTTTTATGATTCATGGACATTTCAGAGGTACCCCACAACAGTAACAGCAACAGAGATGTTCGGGAGACAATCTAAATAGTAAATTACTTGATAAGACATTCTGTGAGCATACTGTGAAACGTTATGTCTAAAACTTCAACCAGAGCCCAGCTAAAGCAAAGTACATAGAGAGTTAATCACTGTGGCTTCCAGAGAAAATAGTGTATTCAGCATATTCCACCATTTGTCTATCCATCCATTCATATTTTTCCCTACTTTATTTTTGAAATCTGCATGTTCTGATTCCTAAATAAGACCAGAAACACCTTAAAAACCATAACATCTTATTATTTTCAATCCCTGCCAGAAGACTCAGGTAAGGCAGTTGGTAGGGGGTTACCCAACTAACCCAAAGGTAGGTCTCTAAGGCATTTAGAGTCCAACAGCAGCTCTGCCTGAGTAAAATGGGCATCCTTCACTCATGTCATTTATAGACTCTGAAAACCCACTGCAAGGTCACCAAGGACTTGATGGTAGTGAGAGAGAGAGTCAGACAGTCACTCTCTAATTAAGACCAAAATAAGATATTTTCCAATAAAGAAGAATTTACCCAGACCTGGAAACTAAAATGCAAGGTCCAAGAGCCTTGATGTACTTTGTTGTTGTTGTTATGTGCCATCGAGTGGTTTGTGACTCAGTGACCCTATGTACAAGAGCTGTAAATGCTGTTCTATCCTGTGCCAATCTAGTCATCTCAAACACATTTATTTCCACTGCCCCAGTCACAGAATCGATCCATCTCATCGAAGGTCTTCCTCTCCTTCGCCGCCCCTCCACTCTGCCAAACATGATGTCCCTCTCCAAGGACCAGTCCCTCCTTGCAACATGCCCAAAGTATGTCAAACGAAGCTTCAGAATCCTTTTTTTTTAGTTTTTTTATTATTATAAAATTTTATTAGTTTTAATGAACATTTACAGAGATTTTGGGTTTTCATTCATTAATTGTTGCACTGTTTTCTCCACCCTCCTCCCCAGTTCGTTCTTCTTCCCCCCCCATGTCTGTTTTAATTGTCCAATTGCCACAGTGCTTGTCAAAGCCAGTTCTGATTAATCTCCTTTGTCAGTGTGTCCCTTGCCATTCCCTATCACTCCTCCCTGAGAGAGACTTCACCCTGATTCATAAGGAAAAGGGGATGGCATATTCTCTTAGCTACTTCCTGCTGAAAAGGGACGCTGTGGGTTTCAGGGTGAAGGTCTTCTCTCACTACTCTAAAGGGCCCCTTGAAGCTTCAGAATCCTTGACTCCAAGGAACATTCTGGCTTCACCTTCTCCAGGACAAACCTGTTTGATCGCCTAATAGTCTATGGTTTATTCAACACTCTTCTCCAGCACCACAGCTCAAAGGCATCAATTCTCTTTCTATCATCCCTAGTCATTGTCCAGCTCTCTGACTGTTAACTATCTCAATCTCTTCACCATTCATACTGATGCTGCCAATTGGCCCAGTGGTGAGAATCTTTGTTTTCTTGCTGTTGAGCTTCAATCCATGTAGGAGGCTGCAGTCCTTGACCTTCTGCAGCAAGCGCTTCAGGTTCTCCTCAGTTTCAGCAAGTAGGGTTGTGTCATTTGCATAATGCAGGTTGTTGATAACTCTTCCACCAATCCTGATGCCACATTCCTCTTAGTATAGCCCAGCATCTTGGATGATCTGTTCTGCATACAGATTGAGAAGGTATGGAGGCGGAATACATCCTTGACGGACCCCTTTCTTGATTTTGCTTGGTTCCACAGTCAACACTCTTGGCACTAGTAGCTAGGAAATTAAAACGCGCATTGCCATGGGAAAGCCTGCTGTTAGGGACGTCTCCAAAGTACTGAAAAGCAATAGTGTCTCTTTGGAGACTGAGGTGTGTCTGATATAGTCCATGGTCTTTGCAATCACTTGTTATGCATCAGAGAGTTGGACAATGACCAAGGAGGACAGAAGGAGAATTGGTGCCTTTGAGATGTGGTGCTGGAGAAGAGTATTGAGAGTACCATGGACTGCTAGGAAAACAAACAGATTCATCTGGAAAGGGTTAAACCGGGTGGCTCTTTGGAGGCAAGGATTCTGAGGCTCTGTCTAACATACTTTGGACATGTTGTAAGAAGAGACTGGTCCTTGTAAGAAGAGAAGGACATCATGCTTGGGAGGGTGCAGGGACAGCGCAGGAAGGGAAGGCCCTCTATGACGTGGATTGATTCAGTGACTGGGGTTATAGGAATGGGAGTGTCAGAGACAGTGTGATTGGCACAAGACAGAGCAGAGTTTAGGGCTGTTGTGCATAGGGTCGCTATGAGTCACAAGCGACTCGATGGCACATAACAACAACAGTGTCTCCTTGCTCTGATGTACTATGGAAAGGAAAACTTTTCATTTTATCATAAATATTATCATTAATATCACATGTAAGCAAGATTCTGCTAAAAATTATCCAAAAATGACTGAAACAGCACATCAACAGAGAACTGCCAGATGTCTGGGTTAGAAGAGGGCATGGGTACTAGGGATATTATAGCTAATGTTAGATGGATCTTGACTGAAAGCAAAGAGTACCAGAGGAATATCTATCTGTGTTTTATTGACTATGCAAAGGCATTTGATTGTGTGGATCACAACAAATTGTGGCTAATTCCGAGAAGAATGAGAATCCCAGAACATTTGATTGTGAAATCTATACTTGGCAGTCATCAGAACAGAGCAAGGGAGCACTGCATGGTTCAAAATTGGGAAGAGTGTATGCCAGGCATGTGTCCTGTCTCCATACCTTTTCAATCTATATGCTAAACAGATCATCTCGGAGGCTGTGCTCTACGAGGAGGAGTGTGTCATCAGGATTGGAGGAACACTCATCAACAACCTGTGTTTTGCAGATGACACAACACTGCTTGCTGGAACTGAGGAGGACCTGAAGCACTTGCTGCAGAAGATCAAGGACTACAGTCTTCAATATGAATTGAAGCTCGATATCAAGAAAACAAAGATTCTCATCACTGGGCCAATTGGCAGCATTATGATAGAGGGTGAAAACCTTGAGATTGTTAGCAGCTTCAGTGTGCTTGGCTCCACAATCAACACTCTTTGTATCAGCAGCCAAGAAATCAAAAGTCAAATTGCATTGGCAAAGTCTGCTGTCAGGGACCTCTGCTGTCAGGTCATAATCTTTGCAATTACTTGCTATGCCTCAGAAAACTGGTCAATGACTAGGGATGATAGAAGAATTGATGCCTTATTGCTGTGGTGCTGGAGGAGAGTATTGAATATACTAGTGCTGTACATAAGAATAACAACAACATCACAAATGTACTGAAATACACTTGCAGAAGGAGAATCAGAAGTGGGATGATGTACCAAAATCAGTTATGTGCCGGTGAGTCACATTCAACTCATAGCCACCCTATGTACAACATTGGGCTCTTAACCCTGCTCTATCCTGTGCCAACCTTATTATCTTCGACACGTCTACCCCCATTACCCCAGTCACTCAATCAATCCATGTCACAGAGGGTCTTCCTCTCCAGTGCTGTTCCTCCACTCTCCCAAGCATGACGTCACCCTCCAAGGACTGGTCCCTTCTTGCAACGTGTACAAAGTATGTCAGATGAAGCCTCAGAATCCTTGCCTCCAAGGAGCAGCCCGGTTTCACCCTCTCCAGAACGAACCTGCTTGTTCTCCTAGCAGTCATGGTATATTCAATATTGTCCTCCACCACCACAGCTCAAAGGCATCATTTCTCCTTCTATCATTTAGAGTCATTGTCCAGCTCTCTGATGCATAACAAGTGATTGCAGAGACCACGGCCTGTATCAGGCGCACTTTAGTCTCCAGATTTATGATTTTAATCCAAGCTGTGGTTGAACATGTGAGGTAGCTCTAGAAAGGAGCGCTAGTCAGAAAGAAAACACTATAGGGATGCTGTTGCTGTTGTTTGCCATCAATCTCAATCGACCTAGAGTTGAGACTCCAGTGGGTTTTCAGGGGCAGTAAATCGCAGGGGCAGAGGTAGCTCGGTCTTCTCCCAGTGAGTAGAACCCTAATTGACCTACTTTCTTAACACCTTCTAGGCGGGAGGAACGTGGATTACAAGGGCACCCAAGAGCGGGGCTAAGGATTGAGTTCCGGAACTCTTCCTTCCAACTGGTCTTGTTATAGGAGGGGAAGAAACTGTAGAGCCTGCGGGGGAGGATGGGGAGGTGGGTTGGGTGGGACTGGGAAGGAGGGAAGAGCAGGGAGGCGGGATCGCACGCACCCTCTCGCCCGCCCTGTGCAGGCGCCTGTCCGTCCACCCCCCCCCCCCGCGCGCACCAGGGACACTGGGGATCCCCGTGCTGAGTGAGCATGGCCGCGCGCCTTCTCCGCCTTCTCCTCTGCCTCCTGCTACCAGGTGCCTTGCTCTCGGATGCCGCCAAAATCCTGACTGTGTCCTTGGTGGGTGAGTGCTGGGCCCCGGGAATGCACAGAACAGACCCCGGGAATACACGCGCGGGGAGACTCTCCAAGGTGTTTCGAAGGCGGGACTTTTTTCTTTCTTCTTAATATAATTTCTAATTTAATTGCATTTTCTTCTTCCTTCTCAAGCATTTTGTCCCTGAAAACTCAGTCTAGGCTACTAATTTGTTAGAGCGTATTTGAACAGTTCTTAATAGCATTCTTTATCTTGATGTTTAGAATAATGACAGAAGGCGGCTACGTGTTGGAAAGCTTTAGTATATCTTTCAGGAACGAGGATGACTGACTAGTTGAAAAGTTTGTCATAAATAACTGGCTGCAATACCCTATTTATCTTCCTCACTTTGGCCAACTCTCTCCAAAACCTGGTTCCTCCTGAAAATATGTGTCCAATATAAGTTAAGATGAAATGCCATCGTTCTTGTGATTTTCTTCAACCTTTCCTGCTCCCGAAGCCTCCCCCGACCAGACCAATCACGTGCCCCATCAAGAGCTGCTGGGGCCTCATGTTAAAGACCCTAGGTGGAGCGGGGGTGCCGCAGCCTCCTGGTTCCAAAGACCCTTCAAGGGCAGCAGCACTTGTTCAGAGAGAGACAAGGAGAAAAGAGAAATGGATTTCATGACTGAGGTGGGGGATGATATTTAACTTTTTAAAAAATTTTATATTGATTTTCATACAAATTCATATTTGTTGTACTTCACACTTTCCCTCATTCACATTGTGTTTCATACAATCATTCCCATACATTGTGTTTTTTAAAATGAATCACTTTTTAATTATGCCCACTATTACTCTGTCTTTACAGATGCCTGTCTCATCTTTTCCATTTCCTTTACTTCTACCTCCCTCCACCCACCAAATTGTGATTTCCCCCCCTGCCCATCTTCACCCCTCTGCTCCCTCCCCTTCCTCTCTTGGACCCTCACAGGTGTTTTCCTAATTATCCTTCTGTTTTTACAACAATGGTCTTAATGCAGTATTTGTCTTTATGAGATGGAGTTAGTTCACTCAGCATAATGCTCTCCAGTCACTCCCAAGATCTTTTTCAGAGAAAACTCAGCGGACCAGAGAGAAGCAGCCCAGGAACAAGCAGTTCCTTACAGCCCCCTTTCCTTCCACCTTTGAGGTGAAAGCTTCAGATGAAATGGGTTACCTTTTCTGTATTCTGTAGCTCTATTTTAATTTCCTTTGTTTTTGAGAGGGAAGATCCAGCCTCTCATTGAATATGAGAGGGAAGAACTACCAGAATCAACTAAGTCACCAAAGCCCCTAGGTTTCCACATGAGCTTTATTCCACCTGGTGCCTTAATAAACGATAGCAGCTCCTTGAGATCACCTTAGGATCACAGAGCATCAGTTGGAGGGTGGTAGAGCTGGAAGGAACCTTAAAATTCTTTGCCTTTATTCTCCTTTAGGTTTTCCTGAGAGGGAAACTGAGGCTAAGGGAATTGAAGCACCTTTCCTGAGATCACACCAGACTTTAATGGCACAGCCGTGGAGTTACTTATATTTTCTCATCCCAAGGGCATTCTCTTTACCTACATTTTCCTGTCCCTATGCCATCCTCTCCACACCTTCTACCCTCAAACTCTTTAAACATTGTTCCTTTTTCTCTTTCAGTCTCTGGTTATAACGGCATACAGGGAACTGGTGGTTTAGTGGTAAGGAATTGCACTGCTAACCCAAAGTTGTTTTTGTTTGTTGTTAAGTGCCATCGGGTCCAAGGTGACTCATAGCGACCCTATGAACAAAAGACCTGGACACTGGTATAACTTTCGTCCTTTCTCCAGGTTTATGGGTTTTCCAGAGGCAAGCTGTTACAGAAGTGGATGCCACTCCTGCTTCCAAGCTTGTTTTAATCGGGAGCTCCACCAATCGGGAGCCCTTGGGTGTAGAGTAGCTCACCAAGGCCTACCATGAATGACTGTGTATATTTTCAGAGCCCATTCCTTTCATGGATCAGAATGAATAGCAAGAGCCAGCAGTGTGGGGGACTGGTGTGTCTTCCTCATTATCCCTGACTACTCAAATCTGCATGGAATTATCTGAGTTACTCTAACAGTTACTAGATCATCAGAAGCTTCAGCTTCCCAATATCCCTCTCACCCCTCCACCCTTGGCATTTGCCCTTTCTCTTTCTCTTGATCTGGCTCTCTCTGTTGCTGTGCTCTGTGTTGGTAGGTGCCAGTGAATTGTCTACAACTCAAAGCAACCCTATGAGCAAGAGACCTGAAGCTTGCCTCGTCCCGCACCATCCTCACCGTCTGCCATGCTCAAGCCCATTGTGGCAGTCGCCTTGCCAACCCATCTTGTTGAAGGTCTTCTCTTGTTGACCCTCTACTTTTCCCAGTATGATGTCTATCTCCAAAAACTAGCTCCTCCTGAAAATATGTCTAATATAAGTTTTGTTCATAGGGTTGCTATGAATCGCCTATGACTCGACAGCATTTAACAACAATAACAGTTAAGATGGAATTTCATCATTCTTGCCTCATGTTCTTTAAGAAAGATTCTTTTTTTTTCTTTTTTTTTTTTGGCAGTCCATGGTGGATCCAATACTTTTTAATTACTGAATTATAGTTCTTAGCTTCTATAGTAGCAGAAGAACACATTATCTTGAAGGAACTTAAACTTCCCTGAGTGGCCTGGGATTGTCCTATAATTAGTCATTCTCAGTCTGTCATATAAATACTATCCAACAAACTAATCCCATGTCTTACAACACAATTGCCCTGTGATTTCTCAGTTCTAAATGGAACAAAGTTCAGGCTCAAGTTGAGAAACTTCCTGCCAAGTACATTTAAACCTTCAGGATTTAGGCTTTAAGCAACTCCACACCTCTTTCTCCTCCAATAAGTGTGTTTTAAGTTCACTTTGTAGCTCCCTTATTTCTGGCTTAGTAGCATGTATTTCTAAAGGTAAGTTTGCAGAAATAGAGCTTATTAAGAAACATTCATACTCGCTAAAACAACACTATGCCAAAGTTCACCCTGCAGTTACTTGTTTAGGGCATGTATCATTGTCAGCATGTCCCCAGGATGAGGGCCTCTTTCCTGTGCAGGTCCAGAGAGATTCATCACACTTTGCAGAGACAGTGGGCCCAGGATGGAACACCCCAGTGGAGAGTTGTATCATGGCTACTGAAAGGCGTTCTAGGGACTGACGGAGCTTTGATGTATCTGCTCAGCATTCGTTTTCCCTGTTTCATTCCCCTTCCTCTCTTGGATTTCTCTCCATCAACTTCCACCTCTCTATTCCTTTATTTACCAAAGTGAAGGTTTACATTTTTCCTAGGGGGAAGCCATTATCTGCTGATGGACCACGTGTCTCGGATTCTTCAAGATCATGGTCATAATGTGACCATGGTGAAACAGGAAGGACTTTCTTTGTTATCAGGTACTTTTTCTTACTAATTCCTAGATTATTTTATCCTAGATTACAAGCTATATACCTTTTATAGAGTATAGTGTAGGAAAAAAATTTTTAAAAATATCATTGAGTTGAAACAGTGTAAAATGTGTGTGTGTGTGTGTGTGTGTGTGTGTGTGTGTGTGTGTGTGTGTGTAAAGTGTTAGGTAACTTGCTAGACTTGTTCCCATGGCCTCTGTACTCTGTGTCTCCTTACTTGCCCCTCTTACCTGAATTCTAACTCTATCCCAGGGTATTGTCCACATGTTATTTTAATCTTTTGAGCATTGGACTGGGAAAATCTGCAGTTAAGGACTTCTCCAAATTATTGAGGAGTGATGATGCCAGTTTGAGGACTAAAGGGACATCTGATTCAGAACATGGTCTTTCTGATTACTTTCTATGCATCTGAGAGCTGGGCAGTGAATAAGGATGAGAGAAAAAGAATTGATGCCTTTGAGATGTGATGTTGGAGAAAAGCACCAAACATCCCATGGATGGCCAAAAGAATGAACAGATATGTTGTGGTGAGAGTGCAGCTGGAGTGCTCTTTGGAGGAAAGAATAATGAGGCTTCACTTCACATAGTTTGGGCATGTAGCTAGGAGAGGCTATTTCTGGGAGAACGATATGATGCTGGAAAGCGTGGAGGGCCCATAAAGGAGAGGAGAACCCACAACCACGTGAGTTGACACGGTGACTGCTGCAGTGGGCTCTTGTGTGTCAGGGAGTGTGAGGATAGAACACAGTTCAGATCTTTTGTTCATAGGGATGCTATGAGTCATACTCCATTTGATGACACCTAGTGACAACAACAACAGCAACATATGTAATCCATAGTAGCAGGAATGAAAAAATGGAAAAATGTGTTGCATTGGGAAAATCTACTATCAAAGACCTCTCCAAAGTCCTCAAGAGCCAGAATTTCAAATACTATGGTGCACTTGCTCCAAGCCGTGGTTGTTTTCAGTTACTTCTTATATGATAATTAGAGGAAGACTGAAGAAGAATCGATGCCTTTGAATTGTAATGCTTTGAAAATTGAATGTCTCTTCCTGAAGAACAAACGAATCTCTCTTGGAGAAAGTGCAACCAGGGTTCTCTTTAGGGGCAAGGATGGTGCAAGTTCACTTCACATATTTTGGGCATGTTGTCAGAAGGGGCCAGTCCTTGGAAAAAGCCATTATGCTGGAAATGGTGAACGGAAGCGAGGACTCCCTTTAGTAAGATGGATTTACACAATGACTATAGCAGTGAGCTCAAGCACGAAGGTGGTGCAGGATGAGAGCATGAGGCTGATAAAGGAGAGGGCTAAGTTCTGGTCAGTTGTTCACAGGGCTGCTGTGTGTTGTTGTAGACGCAACAGCTCCTGACAACAACATATGTGACTTAGTCACCGTAATGACCACAAAGATGGTTCAGTATTGGATAAGGTTTTGTTTTATTATAAATCGTGTCACCACCAGCTTGATGGCAACTGGGAATATCAGCAATGTGATTTTAAAATCTTTTCATCAGGAAGATTCAGCCATATGTAACACTTCTAATACGTAAGGGTCATTTCTCTTTTTTATCATATAGGTACTTACCCCCCACCCCCTGTTAGGAGACCTGAATTTAAGGAAAGTGTTTCATGGATCCCTGGATTTATGAAGCTAGTTTTTGAGTTGTTTATGAAACAATTCTGGGGACAAAAAAAAAATCAACCACTTCCCATGAATGTGTACATTGTGATTCAGAAAGAGTTCTTAACTAAGTCATCATATCTAAAGAATTGTCATTAAAATGATGTCATGAATCTTGTTAAATCTTTGCTGAGGAGGGACAGAAAACAGCTGACCAGAGGATAGAAATAATTTTCTCAAAGCTACATGGCTGGCTAATAACAGAGTTGAGTGAATCTAAGACTTTAACCTCTTAAACCTCTTTAATCTCAGATTGTTGCTCAATCTTGAACATGTGACTGAAGCTTTGATTCTAAAAAAGTACAGAATGAATAATTTTGAAAGAAAAAGATTGAGCAATTATTAAACTCTGAAGGTGAACTTCAAACTTTGTTATAGCTCATGCTTTTTAAAATTGCCTTTGTAATTGGGTTTAGTGTTTTTTGAACCGTGTCATATGCATGTGCCTTGCATCTGCTTTGTTCATGGATTTAATTTAATAGCCAAAGTATTTGATCACTTCAAATTGACAGTTACAGTGTCTTTGAGAAAGAGCTGATACTCTAGATGAACCCCTTACCCTTTAACAAGAATTCCACTCTCAAATCCACAAACAATTTGGGGGATTCCCAAGTTTTTTCAGGGTTATCCTTGGGTTCCAGTCTCATGGTGCAATTTCTTCCAGGTCTTTCCTGTCATTGGCTGTTTCTGAGGCTTGAAAAAGAATGAATCATTCTAGTTAACAGTAGAACTGCTCAGTTACTTGTTGAGGGTCTTCCTGTCTTTCTCTCACCCTCAGTCTTTCCTAGCATGAGGTCTTTTCCCAAGAACTGGCCCCCTCCTGACAATATGCCCAAAGTATGTGAGACCAAGTTTCATTATCCTTGCCTTTAAGAAGGACGCAGGTTGTATTTCCTCCAGGACAGATGTGTTTGTTCTTTTTGCAGTCTGTTGGATATTCAGTCCTCTTTCCAGAAGAACGGTTCACTAACAAGGTTAGGGCTGGACGTTAGCCTCTCAAACCTAAACTTGTTATTGAACCAATTCAGACTCAAAGGGATCCTACAGGACAGGGTACAACTGCCACCTAGAATTTCCAAGGCTGTACTCTTTACCGAGTGAGCTTTGGTGGCCCACTGGTAAGAAGTTGAGCTCCAATCCCAAAATCATGTGGTTCGAATCCACCAGCTGCACCACAGGAGAAGGATGGGCACTCTTCTCCTATGTAATGAATTGCTTCTGAAAACCTGTTAGAGGGTCAACTGTGGGTCGGTTCTGACTCAACTGTCCATAATATCAACAACAGTCTTTGTAGAGACAACCGTATCTCTTTACTGTAGAGCAGCTGATGGGTTTGAATCTCTTCCCACCTTTCACTTGGCAGCTGAGCTTTAACCATTGTGTCACTAGGGTTCCTCAGAGCTCAGCTATAACCATGCAGATACCCTTGACTGAGATATTGGCATAGCATTGATTCACAACTCAATGTATTCAAATATTTGAATTGTTTACTAACTACTTATTTGGATAACTTCCTCTCCAAATTTATTTATTGACAACTTTAGCTAATACAAAACTTCAGAAATGAAATAGAAGCAAAGTTTTCTCATAGTCACATGTATTACTGCTCTAACCAATGCCTGGAATCATAAGAACACTTTGAGAAACTGAACAAACCCTTTGTCATCAAGTCTGATCTGATTCATAACTGACCCTCCAACAGGTTTTCAGAGGCTGTAAATTGCACATGAGAGAAGAATTGGTTCTCTTCTCCCCTTGACTGATAGCACAACTCGTTACTCACCAGCTGTTGTTGTTGTTATGTGCCGTTGAGTCGCTTGCGGCTCATAGCGACCCTATGTACAACAGCTCTAAACTCTGCTCTGTCCTGTGCCAATCTCATTGTCTCCGACACACTCCTCCCGATTATCCCAGTCACCGAATCAATCCACCTCATAGAGGGCCTTCCCTTCCTGCACCTGTCCTCCACCCTCCCAAGCATGATGTCCTTCTCCAAGTACCGGTCCCTCCTTATAACATGTCCAAAGTATGTCAGATGAAATTTCAGAATCCTTGCCTCCAAGGAGCAGCCTGGTTTAACCCTCTCCAGGATGAATCCGTTTGTTTTCTTAGCAGTCCACGGTACCCTCAGCACTCTTCTCCAACACTGAAGTTCAAAAGCATCAATTCTCCTTTTATCCTCCCTGGTCAATGTCCAGCTCTCTGACACATAACAAGTGATTGCAAAGACCGTGGCCTGTACCAGATGCACCTTAGTCTCCAGAGACACACCGTTGCTCTTCAGTACTTTAGAGAGGTCCCTAATAGCAGGCTTTCCCATGGCAATACGTCTTTGAATTTCCTGGCTGCTGGTGCCAAGAGTGTTGATTGTGGAGCCAAGCAGACTAAAGCTGTGAACAATCTCAGTCTCTTCACCATCCATCCTGATGCTGCCAATTGTTCCAGTAGTGAGAATCTTTGTCTTCTTGACATTGAGCCTCAATCCATATTGAAGGCTGCAGTCCTTGACCCTCTGCAGCAAGCACTTCAGGTCTTACTCAGTTTCAGCAAGCAGGGTTGTTATCTGCATAACGCAGATTGTTGATACATCTTCCACCAATCCTGATGCCACATTTCTCCTCATAGAGCCCAGCCTCCTAGATAATCTATTCTGCATACAGGTTGAAAAGGTATGGAGACAGGACACATCCCTGGCGTACACCCGTCCCAATTTTGAACCATGCCGTGTTTCCTTGCTCTGTTCTGATGCCTGCTTCTTGGTTCAAGTATAAGTTTCGCATTAGCATGATCAAGTGTTCTGGGATTCCCATTTTCTCAGAGTGAGCCACAGTTTGTTATGGTCCACACAGTCAAATGCCTTTACATAATCAATGAAGCACAGATATACATTCCTCTGGGACTCCCTGCTTTCAGCCAAGATCCATCTAACATTTGCTACAAAATCCCTAGTACCACGACCCTTCTAAACCCAGTCTCACCAGAGAGGACATAATTACTTGAAGCTCCCATTCTTTCCTTTCCTTTTCCCTAAGCTATCCTCCTGTACTTCTCCAAGTACCAGGGGAAGTTCCCCAAGTGGTAAGTCCTCTTTGTATTTGGAGGTTTGGTGCAGTTGCAGTCATTTGATAGATATAGACATCTCCCCTTCACTAGGCATCTCCTCCTCCTCCTCCTGGCAGGATGTGTTATGCATTCATTGAGTGAGCAGGTAGATGGAGGATCAACAGGTAAATGATGAATTCCTAAACCAGACATTTGATTTGGTAGGTTGGGTCCTCCCTTTCTTTATCAAGAAGTACCCATC